TCCTGAGTAACTCAACTCAACCACAGAGCCACAGGGCCCTGGTTAAAAATCCAGTCTGAAAAGGCAGGGAGGCCGGGCCTGGTGGCGCACACCTGTAAAGCCAGCACTCAGGAGGCCGAGGCAGGCAAATGGCCGTGAGTTCAAGTTCAACCTTCGTTACAAAGTGAGTTCAAGGCCAGCCTGAACTGCCTAGTGAGAGCTGGTCTCAGAGAGAGTGGGGAGAGAGGGAGAGGGGAGAGGGGGAGAAAAGGAAAAATGGGGAGCGAAGGGAGAGACAGAGAGACCAGAAAGGGAGGGTACTGGACTGTGGCTCATTTTCAGAAACTTACGTAAAACCCAGCATGAAGCCCGGGACAAAAAGACCCTGCCACTGTCTAGCGTGGAATCACTGTCTAGGGCAGTGCAACCCAGGGCACCTACGTGACCAGGGGGTTGAGGTGAGCGGCAGGCCAAGGGTCAGCCCCAGGGCTGCACAAGGGAGCTGCTTCGCATTTTCAGGTCGGGCACAGAGCTAAGCTTGGCTTGTCTTCTTGTGTCCAGGCACCCACAGAGCACCTGTGATTTGGTGACAGCCCTGGGGAGGAGGACCACTAGGCCACGAAATAGAAACAGGTAACCGCAGGAGACCCCGGGTTCAGGAAAAAGCCCGCACAGCAGCCATCTAGGGCCACCCTGAGCACCAGGCAGGTGGTGCTCACCATCCAGACTCGCCATCCAGCACCACTCGGGCAGGTGCCATTCAACCGGTCGACTCCTGCATTGAATAAATTTGATAAAACTGCCATTTTTCTATTTCCTGTTATCTTATTATAATGAACAAAAAACAATCAATGCAATTTTTGGTCACCTTGTCTTTAAAGATGAGAGTGGTAAGTGGCTAAGCAGGTTGAGGAAGCGCAGGAATCATTCACCTAAAACTGTGGGATGCTGACAGACAGTGCCACGCTCACTGGGCAACTGGACAGGCTGCAGGTTGGCACCAATCGGCATCAGGAGAGGCAAAGGCCTCTGAAGGCCCTCAGATAGCACGCGTCCTTTAGGATAGCCTCAGAGGGGACAAGCCCTGAGGGACCTACCACTGTACTGCCACTGCTTCACAAGGTTGAAGACCTGAACTGCTACCAAGCGTGTGCCCTTCTAAATAACATCAATTTATGATAAATTCTATTTGCTCTGATGTCGCAATAAAAGGCTTCAGCTCTGAGGCAGCTCATTGAGACAGTGCTGACTGGCAGCTGAGCACCTCTGCGTTTGCCAGCTGCACCTGTTACCTGTGCAGCATCTGCAAGTCTGATAAGCACGCTTCTGATCCTCCCACTGCAAGGAACCCACGGCTATGCTGCAGCAGTTCAGGTCCTGGTTCGTAGCTTTACTAAATCACTGAACTATCATACATGCTGAGCTCTCTGGAACATCCTTCAGGATACTAAAAAAAAATCCTTCCTGAAATGCAGACGAATAGGAAATCAAGCAGAAATATGTAGCCCTGATGGGCTTAAATACCATTTTAACTCACAAAGACTTGGATTTTAGGGAATAAACTCCTTATCCCTAAGGACAGGACTGCCCTCAGAAATGCAAGTCTAATTAGTGAGAAGAGCAGGCAAGTCCTCTGTGAAGTTTAAAGCTCTCTTGCCATCTCTGCAAAATCACAAAATTATTTTAAATTCTTCAGGGACTGAGTGTGCAAGTCCCTTTAGAGCACTGGACATGACTGCTGAGACTGAAAGTCAAATAAATTTGAAGCATCTTAAGCTCTCTTCCCAACTCATCTATCCTGGGATGTATTTTGGGCCTTTTCTTAGGTAATCTAGTCCAAAAGTAGATGTCCTTCCCAAGGAACTCAGTAAGCACAAGGGCAGCGACTCTGCTGCGACATCTCTCCGCAGGTCACGGCCTGGGTCTTCCACTCCTCTGCTGTTCTAGAGAGGCTGGGGATGTTTCAGAATTGATGTTAATATCAGTGAATTTGGGGCCTAGATTTTACTTAAAGATGATGATCCTTTTTCAGTTAATCTTGTATGTGTGCCCTCCTCATGCTTGTGTTCACAGGCTTCTTCAGACGTCTCCTACTTTTCTCTCAAGGACAATTTCTGAACTCCCTATACTTAGGCATATGCACGGTCTAGGAAACTCCTAGATTTCAGGTCTATGCCACTAACAACATCTCAGACCATGGCAATGTTTACTAATGCACCGAAATCAAGAACTCAGCCACCGCAGTCTCAAGGTGGGCCTCATCCAGAGCTCTGATGTACAGTCCTTACCTTTGACTTGAGCCCCCAACTCTGCTGCCTCAGTGGCCTCCAGCCCCTCTGCAGTCTTGTGCCACCTCTGTGCATGTCTGGGAGCCTTTCTTAGAGCCCTGCCGAGGGGCCATCCCTTCTGGCATCCCAGGAATCTGGCTGCCAAGGGCTGAAGGGAAGCAAGTGAGGTGGTAGCAGAGAAACAGGCCTGAGAGGAAAGGAGACCACGGAGCTGGGCATAAAGGACCGCGCTGAGGGACTCACTTGGGCTGGACAACAGGCTGGGACCGGGTCAGAAGGTGCTGAGGAGAGGGTATGGAAGGCGCACAGGCCAGGGTGGGGCAGGCCCAGGTCAGGCAGCTCGGATGAGCCAGGCTGAGACCTGCATCTTGGGGCAGGGGTATGTGTGTGTCAGGGGTAGTCCCGCCCTCCACTTGTGCCAGCCCTGCTGAGGGAGCCGCAGTGCTGATACCAAAAGCAAATCTTTGACTCCAAGCTTAGCATCTTCCACTCTGTATTATTTCTAGACACCAGGGTCATTTCTAAAAAGAGAAGTTGGATGCCCCGCTTCAAACCCTTTAATGCCTCCCCCATATGAGGACACAGTGCAAGCTCCTATTCAGGATCCACCGCCCTCACCACCTGACCCTGTCCTCTACCCCAGTCCTTTTTCCAGCTGCTGCTCTCCCTCCCGTTTCTTCTGGTCACATCCACTACCCACAGGCCCCCACAAGACCCGCTCAAGAACTTCTCAGGATCTTCTGTCCAGCTTTGACTCTGCCTTAGTTTTCCTAACATTTAAAGGTGTGAGCCCTGGTATACTATCTGTTAGTCATCTTACCAGTTGCAGAACAGAACATCTGACACTCACAAATTAGACAGGGAGTATTTTGGCTCTCGCTTTTTTGTGGGTGCAGTCCATGGTCTGTTGGCTCCGAGCAGAACCAGCATGGTGGCAGGGCCTGGAGGAGGAAAGCTGCTCATCCCATGGCAGCCAGAGCAGAAAGGAAAGCGGGGAGCTGGGGACAAAAATATACCCTTCCAGGTCACGTGACAGCTCTCCCCCAACCAGACCGCATCTCCAAACACACGCTGTCTGGGGAACACCAGATCTAACCCATAATACTGCCTTAGCTATGGTGTTTCTCAGACGCAGAGAACAGAGACTGGTCCACAACAAACACCCTGACCGAGCACCTCTAGGTCCTTGGTACTGTCCTCAATAATCATCCTTTAATGCGATGGATAAGGGCTGCCAAGGGCTGACTGGCAAACTGGCCCAGTCACAAACTTTTTCCAGGCCCTCATCCTTTCAGCACACCCTCTCTTTGGCCTTCCCCAAGGTCCAGGCAGCCCAGGCCGTGCACACGGCACTCTGGCTGTGCTCCAACAAGCCCGATGCAGAGAGCAATCAGGAAATTCCTAGGCACTCCCGAACCCCCAAGTCTGTAGCCATAGATGAGTGTTGCATTATTTGGCGGGCTTTACTACTGGCTACGTCTACGTAATCCCCAAAGCAGTTCCTTGCAGACTGATGGATAAGAGTCAGTTAAATCAAGTATCTCAATTCTGTCATTAATAACTGAAATAAATTATGATGAAAACTTCTTGGATCAGTTACCCTGAAACATAGTCAACATTCTGCAACTGACAGTAACAGACAGAATCAAATCCATAAAAAAGAAATGACCCAATCATCTGAGATACACTCAGAGTGTTACACAGAAAAGTGTTAAGAGGCCTCTTTTTTCTAATTCAGCTCCTACCTTCCTTTAATTTTGGATTTTAGTTCATTTTTTTGTACTAGACAAGAGCGTAGGGCCTAGATACCCAAAGATGAACATAATTTACACTTGAAACAGGGAGGACCAATTTAAGGAGAAACGGGACAGAATACACTTTCCAATACACATGCAGACAGTGAACTGCCCAGCGTCGGCAGTTATGCATACAGCTAACTTAATGAACAATATCTTTTAATTTAAAATCTTTAAAATTACAATATGCTACTGAAATCTAAGCCTCAAAATTAAGGCAGTGTCAGAGTTGGCCACATGCAGAAACTTCAGAATCTAAGAACACTGAGGAGATAGGCCTGGGAACAAACGCAGAAGCAAACGCTCCTTGGACTGTGACTGGCACGGACCCCTGCTCTGCTAGGGCCGCACTGCTTCTGCCTGGGCTGCTAGTGAGGATTCAGAGGTGGATGAGTTGGCAAATCACAAGGGCAGCTCATTTCTTATACACGTACATGTGTCAGGACTAAGATTCCATAACGTGGTAAGGAATCAAGGGAGGGCAAACAGTGAACGGAAACCTGCTTCTGCAAGAGGGTGGCAGGAATGTGGAAAAAGCACCAAGTGTCCCATTGTATCTGACAAGGCATAAAACCCAATATCACAACCCAAAATAAACAGCAGTATCGGTAGAGCATCCCTTATCCAAATGCTTGCAACCAGAAATGTCTTAGATTTTGAATCTTTTCAGAGTTAGGGATATCTGCATATAACAAATACAGGGGATGAGACTGAAGTCTAACATAAAGTTCAGTGATATTTCATAGGCATTCTGCCTCACCTACAGAGCCCTGGGACAGTTTTATGTGTTATTTGTAGTGCACCTGAGTTTTCACTGTGACCTCTCTCTGGATGCCAGGCGTGACATTTCCAGTTGTAACAACACGTCAGCACTCAAGACGTTTTAGATTTTGAACTTTTACATTAGGGACACTCAACCTGTATTTGTGGCTCCTACCTGTCCAGTCTCATAATGTCGGGCAAACTGGCTAACCACTCGATAATCATTTGAGAAGTACTCCATCAAAATAGACGGGACCTCAGCAAAATCTGTAGGGCACCTGGTCCCTAAGATGAGGAGAAAAGAACAAAATTTAGTATGAGTCAAAAAGCTACACATTCATTTTCCTTTTTATGTATACTTTAAAACTTTTATTTGTATGTCTGATGAACTATGAGATTTAATTCATTAAACTGGTATTTTATTTATATAACATTATTATACATATTTGCAGAAAAGTTTATAATAATCCTATATATTTTCCTTTATATCAAAAGTAAAACAAAATATTTGCACAGCTGCTGAAATACCTTATAAAGTAATGGCTCACACCCTCTACAAACAAATCTGTCTTCTGCTATGGTGGCTGCACATGAAACACAAATTAAGACTCATAATTAATACAGCACTTGCATTTAATTCACTGAGTTTTCCTCTTTCATTTCTTTAAAAATTACTTTTACCTATTACTGTTTTTTATAATAACATCAATCCTCAGTGAAGAAAATCAGTGTTTTAAACTCATAACTATTTAAAAACAAGTCAAGACTTTTGTGGTGCCACTTTATGATTCTGGGCAGCACACTTCAGGTCCTTGCAAATTCCTTCACTCTGCCCACATGTTGAGCTAGGTAATAAGTAATGCAAGCGGCATTTACCAGGTGGTCATGTACTAACCACCGAAGTCAGCGAGCTTAAGACTGAAAGGTAAGACAAGGAAGAGGAAAGCTGGACCATCAGCAAATATGGACACATAGCAATGTAAAAAATTACAGCAGAGTTATAATTTCAGACAACAGATAGGATAAGAAAAATTTACAAACTATCATATCATATTTTTTAAACATCCTTTACTGGTTTAAAAAACCAGTAAAGGTTTTTAAACAAGTGAAGTTTTAGGTTAAAGAAGCAATATTCATTAGTTCTATACTCACAAACTCTGTGGTAAGCACTAAGGTGACACATTTATTTACACACACATGCACACACGCACACGCACACATGCGCACACACACACAGAGCCACAAACTTCAACTCCAAATAAAACACAAAAAGGCACAAACTCAAGACAGAGAACTGAGGCCTGTTCTTTCGTTAGTAAGGACAGAAAAGGTACAAAAGGACCAGGCTGTATAACCACAAGATGGGGCAACGTGAGACAAAAAGACATCAGTAAGTGTCACTCTGTCCCCATAACAAACCCCCTTCAGGTTTGACCACTGATGGCTTTAGAGGGTTCCCTTCATTGCTCACCAGTGACGTGCTGGTACCGAGTCCGTCCCAGCATGGAGTGCATGGCGTGGCCCATTTCATGGAAAAGGTTCTCCATCATCCCAGGAGTTAACAGCGCGGGCGACTTCCTCGGGGAGTGGGGAATATTCAGCATGAGGACCACGACTGGGAGCTGATACTCTCCGTCTGCCTTCAGTCGGCCTCCTCGAATGGTAAAATGGCAATCCTGGAGAATCAGAAGCACACAAAGATCAAAGTACTATGGAACCTCGGGGAAGAAAGTCTTAAGAAAAAACTACTGAAAGGAGTAAGTGCAAACTTTATTCTATATATTTGAAGAGTTCTTATCTGTAAAAGTTTTAATTTTCTAAATTCAGTAATGCATCGAGTATTGTATTAATTCCCTCATTTGTTCCAACAAGAAGCACTGAACTTGATGCGGAACCAGATGCTGGAAACAAAGCGATTCAGGGCTCAGCCCTCCTTCTCAGATGTTCCCAAGTGAGGCGGGGAGGACAGACAGCAGACTGCGCGCAGGGCACCGGTGCCCGGCTGCATCCTGATCGCGTGCCAGACAGCACGCGAGGAGGAGGCACTTCCTGTGTCTGTCGCGTTCACCTGCCAGAGACAGGTCCAACTGGTCCTCAAACAGAGCCCAGGGAGCACCCCACCCAGGAAGAGGAGCCACACCGGGGTGCACACTTCCTCCTTCATCACCTACTCCTCATGACAACCCCGTCCAGTGGTACCTTCCTATACAGATAAGAACATTGACACCACGTCTTAGAAATGTCCAGTGCCACAACACCTGGCTAGAATCACTGCATCTGGAACCCAGACCCAACTGACTGCTGTAAGCGGGAGCTACTAATCGCTAAGCTGAAGCCTCCTTCACCACTCAGGCAGAGGAAGCCCATGGGAGTGGGAGCCCTGCTCACGTCATGCTCTCCTGCCCTCTGACACCGGCTAGCCAAATCATCTGGGAAAGCACTGACAGTTTCTAGAATAGGAATACTACCTTGCCACACTGCAGATGGCTGACCACATTTCCTACGCTTGGATCTGTTAAAATGCTTTGGAAATTGCAAATCATATTCAAATGTAAGGTACGTTTCTGTTATAACTGATAACCTAAGGCCTGAAAGCCTCCCATCAAGCTGCATGAACTGTTACAGCTGACAGCTGGCAGAGCTGGTAAGCAGCTAAAGGAATGGAAACCAACCCTGTCTTCACCTAAGGACTTACGGTTTCCTAGGGTTTGGTACGGTTTTCTATAGACATATCTTTTGCCACCGTTACCTAGAATCACCGTCAAGGACAGAAAGACATTAAGAGCTGGGGCACTGACCGGAATGTCTGGGTTTCAACCCCAGCGCCTCTGCCTGTGTGCTTCTGGGCGAGCATGTGAACTACATGGCTTCAGTTCCCACATTTCAGTTTTTGGGAGGCTGGTTTATGATTTATGTCACTTCTATTTACTATTTTTAATTCTATCCTATTTTCAAACTTACAGATTAAAAAATTATGTCTTTTAAATATTGCACAACTATAAAAATTGTACACAAGTTCACATTTAGTACAAATAAACTGACCACTTCTAGACAGACCAGTTTATAAAGAAAAGTTTACCTGATGCGGTTTTTCTGCTCGCTGGAAAAAGTCACAGTAAATGTGCCCCAACAATCCTTCAGATTCATGAACAACAGCCTAGGAAACAGCAGAAATTTAACGGTGAATGCGCCCATTAGAAACCCTGAATTGGGGAAGCATCCCAACACGAGGACAGGTCACATGCACAACCACAGAGAAGCGTTTCATTTCTTCTGCCTCCCACACTAACTCGAGACGGCGTCTCTCCCCCGCGCACTTGCTCCATCTCTCCAACAGTGTGGATCTGGGAATCCCACACCCAGGAGAGAAGAGCCTCTTCACGGGGACTCCTGGCCATTTGTGCCCCTTTTACAAAACCACGGCTTTGCCCAGGAGCCTGCTCACAAGCTGACAGAGCTGCAAGACACGCTGGCTGGACAGCATCAGAGGCAAAGCCACGCCACTCACGCCATGCCCATTTGAACTCTCAAACTCAAAACAAAATGCAGCTCTTAGTTTGGCTGCAAACCAATTACACATGCTGATTTCCGTAAGTTATAAAGAAGGCCCCATGAAAGAGCCACAATTTAGAGGGGACGCATCAGCACTGGTCTCCACTTTGCTTTTTTTTTTGAACTTGATTCTATCATAGAGAGCCCTCACTTTGTGCTTTAAGATCTTCTGCAAGTATATATTCATTTATTCATTCAATAAACCTCAACACAGCACTGCTAGGTGCCAGGACTCACTCACGGCACTTGGGAAACAGCAGTGACTGCCCGGAGGAACCCATGCTCCCGCAAGGATGACAACTCTCGCTCAGGGGCACACTGCCCTTCCCGTTTTCTTTCCACTGCTCCTCTGCACTCTCTGAAGCCCCTCACTTTGGGAAGTTAGCGATTCACATATAGAAACTTAAGATGTGACTGTGGTGAAGAAAACCTCCATCCCACTTTTTTTTTTGGGGGGGGGGGTACCAGAAATCAAACTCACAACGTTGCACTTGCCAGGCAGGTGCTGTGCTACTGAGCTATAACCCTGGCCTCCAGCCCGACCCTCTTCAGCCCTGCCCACACCCACTCCATGCCTGCACAAGTGGCCTGGGGCAGTGGGGCAGCCTCCAGATCTTTGGAGTGAAGTGAACACAGTGCAGTGAGCATGCAGGCAAAAACAGATAACACAACAACACGGAGCCTGTGCAGGCTGGGAGAGCCTCAAAACCTCCTGAGGAAGAATGCTACCTGCACTGAAATAAAGAGGGCCTGACAGGAGGAGGACAGAAGAACACAGGAAAGCGGAATAAGCTCTGCAAAACGGGATGGGCATGGAAAAAAGAAGTACTGATAAACTTTCCTATAACCAGAATCCAAGAACACGGAAAAGTACACCCCGGAAGACCCCGCCTCCTAACACGCTCCTAGAAAGCCACCTGGGTTACTGTATGTTTAGAACCTTTCTACATGCGTCCTCTGCCAGAAGTGGCCCACTTGACTTTTTCCACAGAACGGAAGCGAGGCGGGCACTCTCCATCAGGCTAAGCTCACTCACAGGCAGAAGTGCACTGGCCCAGCCTGGGTCATGGAGCCGGAGGGGCGGAGGGGAGCCCTACCAGCTTCCGCACGTCTTCGCACCACACCTCGCCTTTGGCAGGCTGCTCCGCATACAGCGAGACACCCAGCAGCTTGTTAAACAGTATGTTCAGGCCTTCCATGCACGCTCCAAGGGAGAAAAACGGGCAGTACAGACTGGGCTCGATGTTATACCTGAGAGAAGGAAGAGGGGTTCAACAGCACTTTTATTTCAACTTCCAAAAGTGTATCTAGTTAACTCTTCACTAACAGTCACAATCACAGGTGTACAGCCGTCCTCCACATCCTTGGGTTTCACATCCCAGGACTGGAAGCATCTCAAGAGCAAACATCCACAGACACACTGCACCCACACTGAACACAGAGAGACTTCTTGACATCACTCCCTACACGATTCAGGGTAACAACTACTTACAGGCATGCTCATGGTGTTCATATTATAAACAGAAATGGAGCGTAGTCTCTGTGAGGATGTGCCTAAGTTCTAGCCAAACACTATGCCACTTCACGGGGCACCAAGCAGGCTGGACTCTGGGATTTGCCCAGGATTCGGGAACCCATCCCTGGCAGAATGAAGGGCCCACTGTCATCTGGGGGTAAGCAGGCGCAGGTTTCTTAGGAATGGTCATCTGTTACTAATACAGTCAGTGATCTTCATCTGGTTTATTCTTTCCCCGACCTAGTTAAGCGGTCTGTCTCAAGTACTCACATCACTCACACACTTTCACACATATTTATACACAGAATATAGCCTGCTCCAGTTATAATGGTAAAGTTGACTTTATGACATTATATATGCTTCAAAGGTGAGACTTACTGTACATAAATATTAAACTCTTAGAGGCACTAAGTGAATTTAAAGTTCTCACCTGGTAAAATGTTCATTTATAGGCAAATGTCTGGAATACGAACCATCAGATTTTAATGTGTGTGATTTGTAGTTACATATCTTAAGGACAATACAGCTGGTAAGCACAATTACCCTTCATCCAAAAATAACCTTTTACGCCCTCTGTCAGCAATGGCGAACCTTCAGAGGTTCCCATGACATCACCCACTGCGGCACATGAGTTTGCTGCCAGGACCCAAACTATTGCAATGTAAACCCAGGAAGATACAAAATGTGTGATGTCTATGTTCACTGAGTCATTGAAGTCATTAAAGCCCAGCCAAAATTTATAACCACAGCCAAAAATAATGGCTGTCAAAAAACTGTGGATGCATGTTACTATACCACACTGTGTTTAACAAAATATACACAAACCTACATTCAAATACATTCAAATGTACACTTATTACTAAATGAATGATTGGATTCTTGAGTGAACATTAATTACACAAGCAAAATTGAAATGTCAGAAAACTGTAAAAGTCCAACATAATTACTGGCCCCGGTTCCCAGAAACACAATGCTCGTGCTGAAGCAGGATGTGGAGGGAACACAGTCGCTCAGGGAGCAGGTGCGGGAGGGCAGAGCCAGGAGCAAACCCTGCGCCTCAGAGGAACCGGCAGAAGGAAGGCAGCAGAGAACAGACAGAACCAACAGAGAACGGAAGGTCAGCAATTCTGCAGGTACAGGAAAGACACCAAATGGTAAAATCAATAGAATGGCCGGGCCGTCATCAAGAAATCAGGTAAGAACAGGTGCTGGTGGGCTGTGGGGAAAAGGCACCTTCTTCACTGTTAGGAGACCTGAGAACTAGTCTAACCACTATGGAAATCAGCGTAGCAATTCCTCAACAACTGAAACTAGAAACTCCATCTGGCCCAGCTATTCTCCTCCTGGGTATCTTCCTAAAAGGGTTAAAGAGGTGGCCTGACAGCGACACATGCACACTGTATTTATAGCAGCACAACTGTCGCCGACCTTCAGTGATGTCTGATGCCCTCCCCCTTTCCATCTCTAGTTGTACAGGCTGGGTCTTTTCTCCCTTTCTTTTGGTTAGTGGGACTTATCAATTGGTTTAACTTTTCAAAAAAGAAGTATTTTATTTTATTGATCTTAAGTATCATTCTTCTGGTCTCATTTAATTTTAGCTCTGATCTTATTTCTCTCCTTCTATAGGTTTGGTTTTGGATGTTCTTGTTTTTCTACACCCCTGAGGCACATAATTAAATTATTTTTCTTTTAATCTCAGATCTATTTTTTCATTTGTTGGTTGGTTGTTTTGATGTAGAGTCTTATAGCCATAAACTCCCCTCTTGCAACTGCTATATTGCGGAGTTTCTGATATATTTCCATTAGACTGCAGGAATTTTTCAATTTCAACCTTTCTCATTCTTAACTGATGCTTATTCAAACTAATAGCACAACATATTAGGTGACTATATATTAAAGATGTGAGAAAAAGTCAGCAACTAGGAGCTGGGGATTTAGCTCAGTGGCATAAGCGCCTGCCTTGCAAGGGTGCAGTCATGAGTTTGATCCCCGGTACCAAAAAAAAAAAAAAAAAAAACCAGCAACTTTCCAAGGGTCTCCCACTGTCCAACAAGCAGTACAGTATTATGTGAAAGTATACCCAGATTACTTATAAGTGCATACTGCAAAATTTAGGGCCAACATTTTAAATAGTAAAAAATGAGAAGAGAGCAAATAAAATCATTCACATTCAATTTAAAAAAAAAGTAGAAGACCAAAACCAATTAAAATAATGAACAAGAAGTAGTAAGTATAATAACCTTAACCCAACTGTATCACCAATCATGGTGGATGTCAACAGTCTACATCCACTGATTAAGACAGAGACCACCAGGGTGGACTGAAACAAGACCCAACTAGATGTTGTCTATAAGAAACTCACAGTGCACATAAAGACAGAGAGAAAAAGGACAAAGATGAATATGCTATGCTAACAGTGATGAAAGGCAGAGCTGCCACATCCATTTCGACAGAGTGGGCTCACGGCAGGAACGGGAAGCACTGTCTGACGCAGAGGGGCCGCTCCCCAGAAAGACACAGTTCCATGATGTGCAAGCCCCGGAGGGGGAGCATCAAAACATACCAGGCAAATAAAAAAAGGACCACAAGGACAAGAGACGGCCCCGCTCCCACCTCTGTGTCAGAAGCAGAGGCAGCAGGCAGGAATCAGCGAGGACGCAATGGAACTTAAGCAAAGGACGTCAACACTGATGTTGTTTCGTGAAAAATAAGCAATTCGTTTATCCATTATGATACATTGATTAGACTGACTTCAAAGGTTCAAATTAAAAAGTCAAGTTTAAACCACGAGCATGAATAAATGGCAGCAAAACTGAGCCACAAAGTGTTCTACTAGATTCTTAGAAAGACTGACTCACAGACAGGCGTAGTGGCCCATGCCTGTAAGCCCAGCACTCTGCGAGGCTAAAGAAAGAGGAGCACAAGTTGAAGGCCAGCCTGGGCAATTCAGTGACTCCACAAGATCCTGTCTCAAAAAAATATAAATCCTATGTTCATGCAGCTCAGGGCAAAGGCCCTTGTACTAGGTTTGATCCTGAGTACCACCAAAAAAAAAATTACTTTTTTGTTACGAGGTAATAAAAATTACCAAGAATTAAAAAAGAATCTTTGCACCTTCAGAGTAAGCCCATCTTGAAATCAAGAAGCACACAAATTTATCTCAATAGAAAACACACTATGAAGTTAAGAGAATAGTCTGTTTTATTAAACTATAACCTAAAAATGTTTAGCTTACCTGACATAAACGACTATATGTGGTAGTCAGGTGAAGGTCAAGGAAACAATTTACCAGAGGCAAAAAAAAATGTGAGCAGAAAACATGTCGATAGGACATTCCAACACACTCCAACTTTCTACACATTAAACGAAACTGTTATGAATGTGGACAGCTGAAATCTTTATGAAAGGTACTGTAAAGTAACTTTAAAAAAAAAAAAGCAAACCTTGAGAACAGGTGTGTAGTTCATGGATAGAAGATGAGGTTAGTACACACGAGGCCCTGAGTTACATCCCCAGCACGAAGAAAGAAAAAGAGAGAGAGGAAGAGGGAGAGGGAGAGAGAGAGAGAGAGAGAGGAGGGGAGTGGAGTGGAGGGAGGAAAAAGGAAGAGGAAGGAAGGAAGGAGAAAAAAGAAAGAGAGAGAGAGAGAAGGGGAGGGAGAGGGGAGAAAGGGAGAGAAAGCCTCAAATACAGCAAAAGAGGGCCACAGTTTAATGTCAATTCTCTGGCCCCTTCGGCCACTTCCTCTCCCCACAAGAAGCAACTCCTGTGATCATTTCTTGTGTATCCTTACTGGTATTTTCTACGTACATGTGTAGAGGTTTATAAATATAAAGCTTTTTCTACAAATAGAATTATACCATTTACACTGTCCTGTAGCTTCCTTTTTACCTTAAAAATATACAAACAATATACACATTCTTGAATTTTATATTTCCACATTTTTCATTAAAATATTTCATGAAATACTTTCAATCTCAGTATACAAAGCTCTACCCTGTTCTCCTGCCTGTGGAATATCTATTGTTACCAGATGATAAAAATAAATACAAAGCTAAGGAAGAGTAAAAAGCAGTTTTATATCGTAAAATTAAACCTGACAGATGATAATGGACGCAGCACTTATTTTTATAGAAAAGAAACAACGAAGTGAACGACGACAGCATCCGTCTCACTGAGCTGCACCTGGAAGTCCCGGGCCCTGCAGAGCGAACACCTGCGCACCGGGGTGACCCGTCTCCGTCTCCGTCTCCGGGGAGCCTCACTGCTACAGCGTGCAGGGGCCACCCGGGGTTAGGGTTAGGGAAAGGAGGCACCGGCACCAGCCAGTTTTCTGGACTGCACCTTCCCCACAGAAAGCTTAGCCGCACAGCTCCTGGGGCTGTTGTGAGCATCCCGTCACGCCTGCCTGAGCCAATGTAGGAGACACACCAAGGCCACTTCGTGGGCGCAGAGCTCTCCCCACCCAGCTGCTGGGTGGTGTCATCCCTGCTGAGGGCGGCGCCCAGCCCGGTGCCCTCCTCCTGACCAGGGTGAGCCCCTGTAATGTGTCTTTCTCTTTTTCCTCTTTAGCTGAAAGGCTGTGTTTTCTTCTTCTTTCTAGTAGCTTGGGGATTCTCTCTATGGCTCTCAACGTTATAGCTGATTTCTCACCTTTCGATCCCTGCCCTCCTGATCTACTCTGTGCCCACGCACAGGGGTGCCCAGAGCCGCAGCGCTGCCCTCCCGTTACCTT